GGAGTGAAGAGGCCCTTCTTAAACTTGGCCCTCCATATATTCCTAATAACCCTCATCTCGCACATAAACGTATGGATAAAGAGATAGAAGTGGTTGTAAAGAAAATAAATAAAATCTTCGTTAAACATGGTTGGGTAATACCTAAAGAATGGGTAGAGATCTTCATAGATTCACTCGAAAAGATCTTGACTGATTGTCATGATAGATACCCGCCGTCTGTTCAAATAAAAGAAATCAATAATTTAAGAAAGAAATTTGAAGCTACACAAACAATCGTCAGAAAAACAGATAAATCGAAAGTTTTCCATCTTGGTAAAACTGATGACTATAAAGTGAAAGCTCAAATATATATGACTAAAACTAAAGCATATCGAGTTTTGGGTACAATAAATCCACTTGAATCTTTAGTTGAACGTACAAATCATTTTCTTTATGGTTTATGGTATAATAAACATATTACACAAAAACAATATGAGAAATTAAAGGTTAGTAAAGAAGAAGCTGAATTAGCTCACCTTTATTTCTTACCCAAAGCACATAAACCAAATACACCATTAAGACCTATAATGGCAGGTCTTAAATCTTCAACTACAGCTATATCGAGATGGTTAGGTAGTCTTTTAAGACCTCTATTCGATCGATTAGCATCTGATACAACCATATTAATTGGGGTTCAATTAATAAGACAAGTTGAAAGATGGTGGGCTACATATCTTACAGCAGCCACATCATTCATAACAATGGATGTTACTGATTTGTGTACAATGATTCCTCATGAAGGAGGAGTAGCAGCCATAAAAAGATTAATTGAAACATCTGGCTTAAATATAATCAATGGTGTTAAAAAAGAGATCATATTAGCTCTCACCAGATTTGTTATGACCAATAATTATTTCTATTTTGATGGGTCAAATTATAAACAAATACGTGGAGGAGCTATGGGCTCACCATTGATCCTGGCAATAGCTAATGCATACATGTATTTTGTTGAACGTCCTATTTCTAAATGGGCTAACAGAACATGTTCATTAAACTATAGATATATTGATGATCTATTTATCATGTCGAATGTACATGCAGACATATTAAAAGGTCTCGTGAGGTTCTGGAATAGAATCGATAATAATATTGAATTTTCAGAATCTATAGGACAGACTGCAGAGTATCTTGACGTTAAACTTGAAAATAGAGGAGATAAATTGATATCTGAAGTTTTTCATAAACCATCATATGAACCATATTTCCTCCCTTACATAAGTACACATGCACGCCATATGAAAGAGAATATTCCTTTTAGAGCTCTTGTAAGAGCTATACGTTATTGTGCAAATTATGATACTTATAAACGTGAACACGCCTATATGTGTGTATCGTTACCCTTGAACAAATACCCATTGGATTTTATTCTAAAACAATTTGAAAGAGTCTCACAGACATTTCAGTGTGCAGTATCTGCACAGAAGAATTTCTTAAATATGAGAAAGATCCTTCTTAATGCCACAGATAATAATGCAAAGAAAGCTAAAATATATTCTAAAGTTAATATTATGTGTCATTTTTCCTTTTGTAAAGGAATGCATGCTTTTTCGACCCGTTTTTATAAACTCTGGGACGATTGTTTTTCTGACACAGCCATTTGCAACATGATACCGATTGTTGGTTCTAAAAGATTAGATAATCTTCAAGATTATCTTGTTCGAAAGAAACCAGATAAATCAGCACTTAAAATCTATACTTAACTTATCGTTGTGGGTTTTACATAACCCAAACGATGAAACTGGTCCTGATCTCGGTGTTAATGATAGAGGTGTTTATTCAACAACAACAACAACTGCATTTCAACTTATGGTTTCCAGCGGTGTAGATGCACAACATGAACAATATACGTTTTTTCTTTTTTGTACGCACTTGAGGCCCCTCTGGCCAAAGTGCATCATCGTTGGACTCTTCTTGCCCCCGTTAATATTTTATAATTTTCTTTTGTTATCGTGAAAGTTTTTCGTTTTTTGTAAACTTCTGAGGAAGTGGGGTTAGAATCCCACAGAAACTAGTCAATAAACTCTACAAAAAGAAAAACAAGAAAACTTTTATAAGTTATTTATTATTTTTTGTTCCAATTATGTCGAGAGAGTGTATAAGTAAAAGATAGATTATTTCTTCATAGAAGTAGTCAATTACTCTTTTTTCTTTTTGAAAAATCATTGTATCATTATCTACATATTTTCAATAACTATCGAAATCCTTTTGACGTATTAAATAATATTTTGATAATGCAGTATTTTTTTATCTATTCTTTCAACTAGTTTGATCACAGGAAGATTTTTGTAGAATGTAATACATACCATTCATTGACTTCATCAATCGGTTCGAAGTAATGGTTTTTTTTATTGAATCTATTGTGTTTAAAGAAGAAATTAATTGATCAGTTTTTTACACACATTTTTTAAATTTTATTACACAATATACTTTTTTAATTACAAATTTACAAGTGTCATATTGTGTACCATTTTACAATATCTACACAACTCATTTTTAATTGTCACTTTTTATCACAACTAATATATGGCCTTCCATATACATTTTGACTTCATTAAATACTATATTAAATTCAAGTAGCCAATTAAGTAAAAACAAAGAATCATGTAATAGGATGTGAATAAATATTTCTAATTGTTCATACTATAATGAGATTGAAAAGATATTCCAAGGCGATTAGTAAATTTCTTATTAATATTGGTACTTTCGCTAATAACTACTTTAGCTACTTCTTATTTTATATTAACCCGTAACTCTTCAACAATTGTTTTCGACTTTTTAACTAAACACACATAGTTGCTATTAGGAAAATGTGTGTTACAGAACTGAAAGTAACGCACTATAGTATTATAAACTTGATTGTATATAATAACATCACTATTACGGTATAGCTATCATTGTGAATTTTCTTTTTGCGTAAACTGACGCTCATATTTACAATTTCTTTTGATCTAGAGTATTTTGGTTCAGCTATTGACAGAGAAATTAATTGATCGAACAATAACATAATTTCAACCATCTCAACTGTTTATGTAACATGAAAAAATAAAAAACCAAAATATCTCTTTGCTCTAATAATTACAACTCTAATGATGATTTACTGATTCTATTCATAAGTTAACATTGATAGTTATGTTATTGGAGTAAGATTACATGAAAATTGTCATATAGAGTATTTTAAGAAAAATCGATATTCATCAAGGAAACTGAATCGAAATTATCATTAACAGCAACAGATAGTGTATTCTCTTCATGATTTCACTAGAAAATTTGTTTGGAAATGAGCTAGAGCACATTTTATTGACAACTTTCGAATATTTGTACGGCTTTTTAAAAATATCAAATGAATAAAGATATGAAAGAACAATACTTATAGTACCATGACAGATGTGTATCTTTTGCTGGAAGCTTTAATTGAATATCAAATGAGATTTAAACATCATTTTATTATTCTCACAGATGAGAGTAAACTGATACTTTTTTGAAACATCAGTACTGACAATAATTTATTTTGCTGTAATCTTTGACCAAGATCAATGTCATCAGCTATCAACATCTATTGATCGAAACATCTCTATGTGTTCAACGTTTATACACTTCCATTTCGTCAAAATATGATCTTCAGAAAACTTCACATTTATACTGTTTCGATCCATCAACAAAAACTACTGCATTGCAATAAGTTTCAAAACCTCTCCTAAATTTATTGAATGATTTTAAGCAATTATGAGACATAAATCGAAATTAATTATCGAAGGATGGGTGTAATCTGGGTATGGGTCTAGTAGTCCGTCTTAATGATATCCGCTTCCACTCACACTCTTAAAGAAACCGGAACCGAACAGGCTAATAGCATTTATCTAAATTCAGCCAAAAGATGGAAGAGATCAACTCATTCGTCTACATAGGATCCACGATTCACAAAACAAGCAGCAGGTTGTATGCCTCATCTCCTAAGGCAAGATCGTCGTAACAAACATTATCGAAAACACAGACCGCCGAAACCAAAATCTCTGAAGTAGAAATTGCTGAATTTCTTTCGGTCATCGATACTAATCAACTTTCTTTCGCTTCAATAAGTCTCTAAGACGCCGATTCTTCAGTTAATCCTGTCAGAAAAATATCATATACAGACACACATGCATCACTTACACTTGTTGACGAGCTTGCCCAAGTTATCAGGTTAACATAGTCACTAACTTGACTTCTACCCTTAGTCAAGTTAGTAACTAACTTGATTTAGGCCCCATCCCAGAAAATAAGTACCAGTGGCTATGAGCATACTGACTCGGCCAAGAAGAAATGAGACACTTTCAAGAACTGGCTTCTTAGATGGATTCTCTTCATACCATACACGAAACACATCACAAACGAAAAATTCCTCGAGCTTACCGGACAAATCGAGATCGGTGTATCTATCAGACGCACACAACTGTGACAATTTGAACACATACCTAGGAACAACTCCCTTTCCGACCACACCAGAACACCATAAGTAGGCATTAATGGAACACCATAAGGATAGAGACGTTCCTGAGATAGACGCTGCCACACATGGATCTGCTCCTTGGAAGATGACCTGCGTCCATTCGACCATAGTCTCTTTCTCATCTGAAAAAATGCTCAAGACGGATAGAAATGACGTAGTTTTGTAGCGAAAGTCACGTCTGGTATGGTAAGCTATAGATGATGACGCTGCTCTTCAATGGTGACTGTCTATACATAGTTATTATCTTTTTCAAATAATTCGTGATTCATTGTACAATCCATAACAAGAAAGTTTCCACCGCATTTGTTTATTCTAAATTCTAAATCTGAGATTTTCATGTCATTTTTTTTCTTATAATATATGTAAGAAGATTTTTGTTGTAGTCTTGATAATCTATTGTATTCCTGTCATATTTGTCATATTGATCCCTAAAGTATATGCATCGTATTTTTGTCATAATCACATATTGACCACGAAAGGCTTTACTTTTTTTCGTTTTCTTCCAATAAAGTATTATTGACATCTCAACATTGAAAAGCTATGTCTATTCATTTCAAAATATGAAAGGTTATAAGTATTAATATGTATTCTCTTAGTAGTGCATTGTTTTATTGTTCCATTTACCGTGTTTTTTAATCCATATTGTAGACCGATTTTAAACGTACAATTACACATCTTAGAAACTCATGGTGTTTTTCGCTATCAGAGCTTACTAATCCGTCGGAATATAGATAAGTATACAATGTGCATTGTCATGACTCTTTTAATCAAAAATCATGATACAGGAGAGAAAGAAAAAAGAATGATCTTTATCTCAAAATATACACGTTTGACAAAAATACTAATCATATATAAATATTCGTGAAAGATTCAAGCATTCTTTTAATTCCACAAATCTTAAATAAAATTAACAACAATAACAATGCAAGCTTTTGTAATGCTCTTCTTAGTGGTTGCAACATTGATAAGTAACCATGTCCATTCATCACCCACAATTAAATTTACTGATACTGTGGTATCAAATCAAATGGCTAAAACATTTAGCAAAGCTCTTTTAGTTCAAGATGAACAAAAACCATCTATTCGAGCTGATTCTCGAAGTAAGGTAAATAGATAATTCAAGAAACAAAGGATCTAAGATTTGCATTTAGGCTCTTACTATCCATATCCAAATAATAACTGGTATAGTTTTCCTTATTTATGGCCTCCTGTCGCTGGTGTTGGTAATCAACTAACTGGTTTAGGAACGAGTGTATGTCCAACAAGTTTTTGTCCGACTGGCGCTAGTTGTTCACAATTAGCTGGTCAATTGCAATGTGGATCTGGGGTAAATAACTGTATTGGAAGTAAGCAATTTTTTGATTCTTTTTTATTAGTTGATTGTAAATCACTAAATTTTGATAAGATTGTGATTTGTTTGTCTCTCTCGTTGCGTTGGATATATTCATTATGCTCAGATAGACATTGTTGTGAAACTTCGGCAAATATTTGTCGAATTTGCTTCCGTTTTATATTTGCTTGTTGACTATTTATATTATCAATCATTTCATTAGGAGCAAGATTTCTTTCTTCATTAGCACGTGTTGTAGTTAAAAATGATTCATGCGAAAGTTCATCAGAATCGGTTCCATCATGGAGCAGTGGATTCGGTGGAATTTGAAGAATAATTTTACGATAAATAGATGGGTGATTCCGCCAGCTTCCTCCAGCGATTTACATCGACCATCTTCAAATTTGATGAAACTTGGAGGATTTGTAGAGAATTTTGCGCTGATCATTTTGGTGTAAAAATATTATTGACTTG